TTGGCAAGTGTCTGGAGTGTGGCGCACCTGGGATTTCCAGGGCTCCTGGCCTTCCTCATTCAGGCAATGGAACTCAGCAGCCTTCTCAACCACCTGGGACAGAGACAAAAACAGGAGCCCCCTGTCCTGCTCCGGCCCTTCAGGTTACAAAGACCCTGCCACCCAGGATGTCACTGTAGCTTCCCTGGGTGCACACAGAACAGGAATGAGTGTCCCACATCTGAGGAAACTGAGGCCCTTGTTATAGAAGCACCTAACCCAGCATTTGCTATTTTCCCTGATAGAGATGGTATCCAACTCCAGGCCTCTTCCTGTCCTGTAGGTGCTGGCTAGTTGTCTGCCAGAGACCCCAGAAAAGATCTCTGTAGGGCTCCCACTCCAGCTGAGGAACAGTAGGGAAATCTGAGTTAGCTTGGTGGGTATGATCACTGTGGGGGATGTGGTCACCTTGGCAGAGCTCATTGCTGAGAGGTAACAGAACAAGTGTCAAGACTCTTTGACCAAACCTGTTTCACGGTTTGCATTAGCTTTGGTTCTGCACAGTTTTGAAAATGGCAACTTTCCGTATATACATTTCCATGGACTTCTCATCCCTTTTCTTACCCCATTGGTCCACCTATGAGTCTAAAACAATATTACTCTTGTTTTAAGATTTGTCATACTAGCCCCACCCAGATGTTAGACTGCCCTTTTCCCCCTGTACACTTAACCTCTTGCACTCTGGCTCCTGACTTCACATGCTCCTGCTTTGGGCAATTTATAAATAAGGAAGAGATTAAAACCTTTTTCTTTCTTCCATACCCTGGGCTACTCCAAGGCCTGCCATGGAGGAGCAAAAAGCTGGTTTTGTTGCCTGATCCACTGCTTCACCCCATCCCCATCTTACTGCTTTCTCCTAAAGCCCTAAGAGAGGATGGGCTAGGGTTCTCACCCCTGCTCACATTAATGCAGCAGGATCCCACCTGCTGTCATCAGGCCTATTCTAACTTGTAGCAGTCACTGCCTAGCTAGTGACACAGGCCCATGCCCACTGGGACACTAGAATTGGCACCCTGGACCTCAGATATTTTCACATCTCCTTTCCTGCTTTAACTGCCCTACCCCCTGCCTTCCTCTCTTGCTCCCCCAAAAAAAGAAAGAAAGAAAGAAATCATGGAGGTAATGTCTTCTGTAGAGCTGACCCTGTACTACAGAGTTCCTGCACTGGGTACTTTTTTGAGTCACCAATCCTGTGTTTCTACCTCACTAAGATGAGAGGGGAAGGCAGATGTGCTTTTATGTCTCTCTGGCTAAGGCCATGTAGGATTCTGTGAAAACCGGTGTGGGAGGAACAAATTTTTTACTACCCTCAAGATTCTTCTGGGTGGTCTAATAATCAAATAGACATGAGACAGCTTAGCAACATAAAATGACCAAATTTAATACATACATATGTATAGGAACCTTGTACACATGAGAGAGGGACCACATATGCAGGAGCAGTTCAGAGATAGAAAGGGAATATGGGTATATAAGGCATCCTGAGCTAAGGATAAAGTAAGGTGCCTTGGGAATTTCAGTGGGTCATTGTAGGATGATAAGAACAGATATTTAGTAAACAGAAGTTTACCCTTATCTACAAACAGGTCAAAAGAAGTTATGTCTGATAATCTCTTATTATGGGCAAGGCCCCTGTTTCAAGTTTTAGGTAGTTAAAGGAAGGGGCAGAAGTGTCTGAGCCTAATGCTAAAATTATTTTTTGCTCAAAGTAATTACATACCACTAAGTCACATCTTGGGGTGGATCATTCTGAACCCCCTACACTGGCAAATTTGAAGGATTGGGAAATAGGGTGAGGGGCTTCATGGCAGGGGACCAGATGATTTGGGGGCAAGAAGAGGTAAGGCAGGCCTTGAATGTGTTGGTGTTTTGGAGGGTCTGGGCTTGTCACTGAAGTGTGAACATGGGGATAGCCAGGTAAAAGCAATTCTAGCAGGCCCATTTGGTGAGAGGATATGGGGCCAACTAGAGGTTGAGAGGGGAGGAAGCCAGGGCAGTCCTCTGGTGGTGGGGGGTAGAAAAAACCAGTGAACCAGTGAGGAACACTGCTCTGGTTCTGAGGGTAGCAGTGCGGGGTGGAAAGGTACCATGGTGTTGAGAGAGGTTTAAGTAGGGGTGCTGAGAGCCAGATAACCCCATATTTTCAGTCAGCCTCAAGTGTGAGGTGGTTACCATCAACAGAAATGGAGGGCTGGTGTTCATTAGGCTCGTGTTTATGACATTTTAGATTTCTAGGAGGCGAGAGTGGAATGACTGCAGTTTTGGTCACCACCAGGTGAGCCGAGGACTGCCTGGGAGGGGGACTTCCCAGACCTCAGCCAGCAACTGCCCAGGGCCCCTAAGCCTACAACTGCTATGGCATATTGCTTTGTTGCTGCTTTTAATGATCTAATATTAAAATATTAATCAAGTACTCTTATTAAGAATACAGATATTATATTTGGTGTCTGGTCTTCTTCATGGTGTTTTTCACCTTTTTTTTCTAATTGGAACACATTATGAGCACTAGTTTGGGCACTGCCAAATAAAAAAAATGTGGATGCTATTGCTAGAGGCTATAATAATGGTGATTGTAGAAATAAAGAAAAAGGTGAGAAAATAAAAACAGAGGGAAGGAAAGGAGAGTGGGAGAAAGGAAGGAGGAGAAAGATGGCACTTGCCTCTAACCACTTGGAGTTCTAATCAACAGAACATTGGGGTTATATCACATGCTACAGATGTTACAGCCAGGATAGTGCCACCTGTGTGGCAATAGCACAAACAGTTTAAATTCACTCTGCCTACCAGCTAGTAGCTTTAAGAATATTAAATTCTTGATACATTATTTAAAAACTGAAATGTGTGTTATTTCAAACTTTGGGCATTAAGTGAGACATCACAAATATTTTGAATTGCTCTATTTTAAACAGACAATAATTCAATTTCAAATAAAAGGCCACTGTGCTATTCAGGACTTTACTACTAAAAGAGAGAAAATGTAGGTTTGTTTGTTTTTTAACAGTTTTACTGAGGTATAATTTGCATACCATAAACTTCACTTATTATAAATATACAATATAAGGATTCTGATAAATGTCCTGAATCATATAACACTCATGACAGTCCAGTTTTAGAATGTTTCCATCACCCCACAAATACAAGTGGTGGCTGGTCTTTCTGGTAAAATCCATGCCAAGACCAAATTGCACCAAGCCATCCCAAACTAATTCCACGCAAGGCCAATGTAAAGGCCAGTTTCCTCCTTCCTTACCTCATGACTCCAGTTGGTGACAGCCTTGGCTCATTCTGGCTCCTGGACTCATTTTTCCCTTCCCTCTGTTCACCTTGTACTTTGGATAGCCACCCTGAGCTTGAGGCAGATGTTTTCTGGATTCTGGGTTTTGACATGCCCCACCTTTCCAGAGCCAACACCATCATCCATCCCATCTTCTACTCCTTTCATTCACATGGAGGCTGTTTCCTGCTGCTCCAGCTGTCTGCTCCTATGTGACATACTGAAGGTGAATTGCTTTTCCCAGAATTGCTTTTCCATGGCACTTTGGGGTTACCTGTCTAGTACTGTTGAATATTTCCCATAGCAGTGGGATTCAAATTCTTCCAGAACAAATAACCCTTCCACCTTTACCAGGCGTGGGTCTAGCTTTGCTTCCTCCTCCAGTCTCTTCCCCACTTGGCCAGTACAGCTGGTGAGAGTACAGGTCCTGGTAGACTTGCTTTCTATGGTCTCCTTAAGCTACAAGGAGGCCCTCTTCCCTTTTCTACTGGGGAGGGTATGGATTCTTGTCTACTTTGTTCACTGATATATTCCAAGACCCTAGAACAATACCTGATCCATTGTTTGATTAGTGCCCCTAGTAGGCATTAATCAAACAATGAATTAAATAGAATTGGAGTGCTGTAGCCCTCTTGTAAGGGTGCTGTATAAAGAGGGCAGGAGTGATCTTGGGAAATAGGTTCTATTTGATTTATTTTAAGCTTATTATAGGTGTTTGAATATTTTTCTGAGGCTCCCTGGCTCACTGAGCCATCTTGGGAACTGATCATCCCTACAGAACTGCTCACAAGCCTCCCTTATTCCTCTGCTCAGGCCAGTCTTTGATGCTTTTCATCTGGGTTAGTTCCCCCAACTGGACCCACAATACCACTGAGCCAGCCTATTCTGAGACATTTGGGTAGCTGCTTCAACTGCTAGGCTCCCTTTTGGGGTTGTGATCTCCCAACTCCTTTTTTTGGCTTAGCCTTCTACCAAATGGAGCCCCTTAAATTCTCCTCTCCACAGAGTCCTGGGAGGTCATGTTGAGCTACAGCTTTCAGGTGCTTCTCCACAAAGATTCCTGCCTTCTCCCCAGTTTTGTAGCCAGCTTAATTTTTGGCCTCACTATAGACTTCCTTTTTCCTTGTGTGCCACCAGGCCTTTCCTTTTTTTAGTGTGAGAAAATGTCATCTGTCACATCCTGTTAGAGGGATTCTCCATCGTTGGCCCTGTTATGTGAGCACTAAGGTGACACTGCTCTGGTCGTCCCCTTCTCCAATGATCCACTCTAGACGAGGACATTCTGGGTCCAAGTACTGGGTTAACAAGCCTCTAGGCCTGCAGGCCCAGAGACCCCACCATTCCCACAAGCCTGCTTCTGACTGGGTCTGGAAGAGCAGCAGGTAGGTGAGCACAGGCAGGCTGGCCATGCCTGGAGAAGGGGGAGGCGGCACAGGAGGCACTGGACAGCACCTGGGGTCCGGGCTGGAGAGCTGCTTAGTTGAAGAAGGGTCTGAAGTGGGCTGTGGTTTTGGGGCAATGCAGAGGGCGGGATAAATAAGTGGAAGGGGCGAGGCGAGTGCTGCGGGTGGTGCTGAGAGAGAATAGGAATGTGGGCGGTACTAAGCCGTGTGCGGAGGGCGGAGTCAAGTTGTGGGCGGTGCTGAGGGTGGAATTGGGCGGGGGAGATGCTGTGGGCGGGACTTGCTGCCGACCCGATGGTTGGACTGGTCTGGCGCGGAATTGAAGGCCCCTGGCGAGCGTCGCGGGGGGCTGGACGTGGGGAGTCAGGGCGGAGCCCAGGCAGCGGGATTCGGGGTGGTTGAGGAGGAGCGGAGGACCTGCTGGGATTGGGCGGAGGCCGGCGATCGGTGGCGCTGCAGCTTCAGGTGTTCCGGAGGCTCCACGTCGCCTGGCGCCTGCGGCTTCCGAGAGCTTAGGTGGTTCTCAGCGTCTGGAGCCGGCCTGCGGTTCCCGCGAGGACATGGCTGGGCCGGGTCCGGGAGACCCAGACGAGCATTACGATTTCCTGTTCAAACTGGTGCTAGTGGGCGATGCGAGCGTGGGCAAGACGTGCGTGGTGCAGCGCTTCAAGACCGGAGCTTTCTCGGAGCGCCAGAGCAGCACCATCGGCGTCGACTTTACCATGAAGACGCTGGAGATCCAGGGCAAGCGAGTCAAGGTGGGAGGCCCGGCCTGGGGACACCGGGCCGGGGTGGCCTGCTCTCTTTGGACACTGCGAAGCCCAGGCTCCGACGTGCACTAGGGGCGGCCAGGGCCCCTGGAAGGTTTTCGCTCAGCGGGGGCGGGGATTGTCTTTTTCCCTCGGTAGCTGGAGTCCAGGATTATTCTGAGGTGTTTGGCAGACCCCTTTTGCTTTCCATTACCCTTCCTCCTGTCGGAGCAGGCCTGGGCCTTGGGATCTGAGCCAGGTTCAGTCTGCAAAGCGCCGGTCTTGAGTGTGTGTGTGTGTATGTTTGTGTGGGCGCTTTGGAGGTGGTCAGGAGGAGGCTGTGCCCTCTCGAGCTGATACCCTTTACTTTGCTCCCAAATGAGTGGAAGGCAGCCGAGCGCCTCAGAGTGCCGGAGATAGAGGGACGCCTCGCTGGCCAGACCTTTCCTCAAGCTCGGCCCTCAGGTGGGGAACTCAGCCAGAGAACCACCCGCCCCGCGCCTAGGAGGGATCAGGAAGTAGTTGCTTTTAGGACCGGAGGGCCCAAACTTTTCGCCAGAATTTCCGGTCTTGGCTACGCCCCTCTGCAGTGGTTTTGTGGACCTGGTGGCGGAACTTTTCTAAGGCCAGCACTGGGTCCCCTCCCCCAGCTGGAATTTGTTATAGAAACTGAAAATTTCACAGATACCGGAAGGTAGGGGAGAGAATCGATCTTTTGGCAACGGCTCCGAATAGAAACAGCAGGATGTAGTTGCCACAGTGTTCTGGCAATGGTTTGATAAATAGTATTTGTGATTAATGAATCAGAATTTTTTAACCTGCGTGTGAGCCTTAACAGAGACCAACGCCAGCACACGGCATTGGTCTTTCTTCAGTAACTTTACTTCACTGTACAGAAATCCTTTTCGTTCGTTCATGGTTTTGAGTTCATGATCTCCAGAGCAACTCTTAAGAGCACTGGGCAGGGGCAGTACAAGGCAAGCGTTGTCTCTGTGTTTTCAAGAAGTTGAGCCCTGATGCTGTGAGGCTTTGCCACCTTGGTCAGCTGTAGCCTGCTCATAGTTACCTTTGGCCAGGATACTTAGCTCTTTGTTCCTGCATAAGTTGGATAATTTCTGTGTTGCCTCCTGCCCCTTCATGGACAAAAAGTAAGCCAATGGTCTTTACATGACCACAGTGCATCTAGAGTAGATGAGATGGTAGAAGCACAAACTACCTGGCTGAAGGTTTTTGTTTTTGTTTTTAAATAGTTTTTTCGATTTCTGTGTGTTTTCGGTCTCCTTGGGATAGAAAAAAGAGCAAGGTGTGGCAAGCAGCACTGAATCATTATTTGGGACCACCTCTTTTAGAACACATAGCCAGGGAAGGGTTTGTGGGATGGGTGGAATATATCCATGGGTGAATTTGTGCCCTGTGATGATGTCAGAAGCTACAGGAAAAGTGGAGTATAAAAATATAGGGATACTCAGCAGTGGCACTCTTGCAAGCTGTCAGCCTGTTTCTACTCCAGTGTTTGCGGTGGCCCATGCTGACAGTGGTTAAGGAGGGGGTAGGGTGTTTCTGTTTATCTGATGAGGTAACAACCTGTGCCCCTTTGAAGCCCAGGATGTACTGTGTACCTGACCATAGGTTACGCAATGCAGAACAGGCAGTTCTTATTTCTTTTCTTTATGGTGACATCCAGATTGTTCTTAGGAGGCAGCTGGGTAGGATTGGAAATGGGAGAACAGTGTAGATATGGTAAAGCCTTTAATAGTTATAATCATTGCCCTTCTTGAGAGTCTGTTGTGTGCCAGCTATTTTATGGATGTGTTATTATTAACTCCCTTTCACACAGGACAGGTTTGTGCCAAAGCACACAGCTAGTGAGTAACAGAGGTGGGATTTTTTCTTCTGGTTTTTCTGACTCCACAGCATTGGGGCCCTTTCCCTCCCCCTCAGAATCTGATTGTTTGGAGGGGGAAAGCCTTTTGAGTATTATTTACTTCCTCATTTTGCAGTTAGAGAAACCTTAAGCCCAGTACACTGAGAAGGCTCTGAATTAAACCTGAGCAGCAGTGGGAGAAGGACCGTCTCTAAGTCAGGACTTCTGGGCTCTACTGACTCATCAGGAGCAAGTCATTTTTTGTTTCTCAGAGACTCTTTTGTCATCAGTAAAATAACTTTGAGGTGTCTTCCAGCAATACAATAAAAAAACAGAGGGTTATGAGGTTTAATTTACATATAGTAAACCTCACCCATTTTTAGGCATACAGTTCCGTGAACTTTGACAAATGTATACAGACCTGTACCCACTACCACAATCAAGGAATAGAATACTTCCATCAACCCAGAAAATTCCCTTGTATCGTTTTGTGTTGCTGTCCTCCCTTCACTTCAGCCCCTAGCAAACACTGATCTGTTTTCTGTTACTATAGTTTCAGCAATGTGATTTTTCCTGGAACCTTTGATGAGCCAGATTTGATTGTTGTTTCTGCAGAAGCATGTCCACAGATTTAGTTTAAAACCTTTCCAGGGTCTGTCCAGGGTCCAACAAGTGTCCAGCATGATCTCCAACTTCCTTTCCCTATAATGCTGGCTTTTGTTAGAGTTGTAAGGAACCTTAGAAATAGATCACCTAGTGGTTTTCCAGTTCTGAGCTCCAGTGCTTGGGGACATGGAGGGGTATAGGGGGAAGACCAAGAGACCACAGATTCAGAAGAGCCAGCAGCTTCTCATGCAGCCAAAACAATACTACTTTTACTTAGTTTTATATTGAGGTTCCACTTGTTTTTATCTGACTACAGAGTTCTGCTAAAAATTAAAAAGTTTGAAACATCATAGATCTAATTAAACCCCTTTGTTCCTGTGGTCACTTCCTTTTGCAACCAGAATAACATCCAAACTTCTTACTTGAAGAAATGGACCCTGCCTGCCTTGCCATCTTCATCTATCTCCCTCTGCCCCTCACTCAGTACTTTCCAGCCTTACTAGCCTTTTCTGTCCTTCAAACAAGTTTGCCTCAGGCCCTTTGTATTTTTGCCCCTGGCTGTTCATACTCTGTCCCAAGGGCACCTGCTTGGGACCACTGCATCGTCCTTTGGGATCTGCTGAGAATACCACCCCTTCAGAGAGGACTTCTTTGGCCTCCCAGACCCTCTTTCCCATATTGGATAAATTCAAGGGTAAGTTCATAGCACTTACCAAGACTTGAAATTACTTTGTTGTTCTCCATATAATTTTAGCTCCTTGAAGGCTCAGAGATTCAGGCTGCCTTATGTTATCAGTAAATTCCTGCATCTACAACAGTGTCAGTGCTGTTCAGTACATGTCTATTAATTGATTTTTATTTATAGAGAGGAAGCAGAGGCCAAAATAAATGAATTGACCAACACACCCAAGGACACATGCAAATCAATGACAAAACCAGGATTTGAACCCCATCAGCCTGGCTTCTAAAGCAGTGCTTTTCTTTATGCTCTAGAGTCCCTCTGAGTTCATAATGATGACCCTGAGATCTTGCAAGTTAATGAATCTAGGAAAAGTGCAGCTGTGGCCACTGCACTGTGAGAGAAGAATGTAGTCTTGGGTATTTTATAGATTTCAATTATAAGGATTGAAAACCCCAAAGAATTTCATACTAAACAGATGTTCAGCTAACAACATCTGGCCAGTTTCAAGCAGCTCAGATAACCTGCTGTGCTGGTTAGTAAAGCTTTGTATGTGGTGATTGGTTTCTGTACCCTAGACCATATGGATTCCTTTTGCCTTAGCTATGAAGATTGAACCTCAAGAGAGAACCTGGGTGCTTCTAGTCTTTCAAATTGTAGAGTCACTGAAAGAAAACACTGGATTAGGAGCCTGAATGTCTGTTTTTTTTTGTCCAACCCTGCCACAACAGTGGATAGTTCCTTTTCTCTTTTTGAAGCTCCAGGCTTCCTCATTTGTAAATTGGGACTGATCTTCATTCTGCCTACTTAGTGTGGTTAGAAAACTATAGACATGCTTAAAATAGTTTATAGTTCTCTTTATGTATTTTGAGTAGACATCATCCTCATGGTTCAGAATTTCAAAATTTTTGAGATGTGAAATGGCAAACAGCACTTCTTTCTACATTTGTCCCTCAACCCGCTCAGAGCCCTCTACTAAGAGGCATTCAGCCCTGACTGGTGTGGCTCTGTGGGTTGGGCATCATCTCGAAAACTGAAAAGTCGCTGATTTGATTCCTAGTCAGGGCAATGCCTGGATTGCTGGTGTGTAAGGCAACTGATTGATGTTTCTCTCCTTCTCTGTTCCTCTCTCTAAAAATAAATAAATAAAAATTTTTAAAAATTCAAAAGGATATTAAAAAGAGAGGCAATCATTGTTAACCCATTTCTTGTCTATCCTGAAAGTGCTGTTGTAAATAAAACCAAGGAATCACAAATAAAAGAAATTAATTTATTGTAGTTGTTACCATTTCCCTCTTTAGAATAGAAAAATTCTTTTTTTGATTTAAATTTTCTTTTTCTTTTCTTTTTTTATAAATACATTTTATTGAGTATGCTATTACAGTTGTCCTATTTTTTTCTCTCCCCTTTATTCTGCTCTGCCCTGTACCCCCTCTCCCTGCACCTGTCCTCCCACCAGCTTCTCCTCCGTGCCTTAGTTCATATCCACGGGTTCTACATATAAGTTCTTTGGCTTCTCCATTCCCTATACTATCTATATCTATCTGTCTGTCTATCTATCTATCTATCTGTCTATCTGTCTATCTATAGAGAGAGGGGAAAGGAAGGAGAAAGGGAGAGAAACATCAATGTGTGGTTGCCTCTCACATGCCCCTTACTGGGGACCTGGCTTGCAACCCAGGCATATGACTAGAAATCAAAACGATGACCCTGTGGTTCGCAGGCCTGCATTCAATCCACTGAGCTACACCAGCCAGGGCTCCTATACTATTCTTAACCTCCCCCTGTCTATTTTGTACCTACCATTTATGCTTCTTATTCCCTTTACATTTTCCTCCATTCTCCCCCTCCCCTCTGATAACCCTCCATGTGATCTCCATTTCTGTGATTCTATTCCTATTCTAGTTGTTTGCTTAGTTTGTTTTTCTTTTTTAGGTTCAGTTGTTGATAGTTGTGGGTTTGATGTCATTTTACAATTCATAGTTTTGATCTTCTTTTTCTTAGATAAGTCCCTCTAACATTTCATATAATAAGGACTTGGGGTGATGATGAACTCCTTTAACTTGAACTTATCTGGGAAACACTTTATGTGCCCTTCCATTCTAATGATAGCTTTGGTGGATAGAGTAATCTAGCTTGTAGGTTTTTGCCTTTCATGATTTTGAATACTTCTTTCCAGCTACTTCTTGACCATGTTTCTTTTGAGAAATCATCTGATAGCCTTATGGGAACTCCTTTGTAGGTAACTCTCTCTGTTTTTCTTGCTGCTTTTAAGATTCTCTCCTTCATTTTAATCTTGGGTACTGTAATGATGATGTGCCTTGGTGTGTGCTTCCTTGGGTCCAACTTTTTTGGGATGCTCTGAGCTTTCTAGACTTCCTAGAAGTCTATTTCCTTTGCTAGATTGGGGAAGTTCTCCTTCATTATTTTTTCAAATAAGTTTTCCATTCTTTGCTCTTCCCGTTCTCATTCTGGCACCCCTGTCATTCTGATATTGGAATGTTTAAAGTTGTGCCAGAGGTTCTTAAGTGTCTCCTCATTTTTTTGAATTCTTATTGCTTCATTCTTTTCTGGTTGAATGTTTATTTCTTCCTTCTCCAAATCATTGATTTGAATCCCAGTTTCCTTCCCTTTACTGTTGGCTCCCTGTATATTTTTCTTTATTTCACTTTGCGTAGCCTTCACTTTTTTCTCCATTTTGTGCCCATACTCAACCATTGCTGTGAGCATCCTGATTACTGGTGTTTTGAACTGTGCATCTGATAAGTTGGCTCTCTCATTGCTTAGTTCTTTTTCTAGAGTTTTAATCTATCCTCTCATTTGGGCCATATTTCTTTGTCTTAGAGTGCCTGTTTTGTAGCAAGGGGCGGAGCCTTAGGTATTCACCAGAGCAAGGCAACACACTCCCTGTGTTGTGGTACTGTATGTGGGGGAGGGGTCAGAAGGAACAATACCATTTGCTCCACTCTGCCAGCTTTCAGTTACTTCCCCTGCTACTCACAAGCAAATTGGACCCTTCTAGTGCTAAGTCCTGGGTGAGTGGGCTTGTGTACGTTCTCTGACCCTGTTTGTCTCTCCTGTGAGGCTGGGAGTTTTCTCCTGCTGCTGCAAGACCCACAGGTTTTTACAGCCAGAGGATCTGAGGCTTTATTTTCCTGCACTGGAACCCTGGGTTGTGTGGTCTGTCTCACTCCCAAGTTGTTCCTCTTGGTTTACCTGCATGCAAATGTGGGATTGCTGGGTCCTTCAGCCACTACCTTGCTGCAAATCCTCTCTGCCCCTCCTACCAGTCTGGAGGAATCTTTCTTCTTTAACTCCTTGGTTGTCAAACTTCCATACAGTTTGATTTTCTGGCAGTTCTGGTTATTATTATTTTTTTTTAATTTGTTCTTGTCCTTCTTTTGGTTGTACAAGGAGGCAAAGCATATCTACCTATGCCTCCATCATGGCCAGAAATGTGTGTGATTTTCTTATTTAGATCAAATTGGTTTGAATTTTTCAATTCTGAGCAGAAATAGCAAAAGGACTGTGTAAGAGAGAAGTTCTAGGTTATATTAGTTGTCTGAGGAAATTGTTCTTGATACCAGTGACAACCATACCCATACTCATTGCAAAATAAGCCTTGGATCCCAAGTTTTCTGAAAGTCCTGAGGCAGCACATGAAGTGGAAAGCAGGCCAATGTTAGAACCCAAGGGAAACAGATTAAAATCTTGGCTTTAGCCCTGGCTGGTGTGGCTCAGTGGATTGAGCACTGGACTACGAAGCAGAGTGTTCGATTCCCAGTCAGGGCACATGCCTCAGCTGCAGGCCAGGTTCCCTGGTGCGGGGAGTGCAAGAGGCAACCACACATTGATGTTTCTCTCCCTCTCTTTCTCCCTCCCTTCCCCTTTGTCTAAAAAAAAAATAAGTAAAATAAATAAAATCTTAAAAAAAATCTTGGCTTTGCTACATAGGGCCTTGGGCATGTGATGTCACCACATTTATTTATTTATTATTATTATTTTTATCCATACCTGAAGACATATTTTTCATTGCTTTTTAGAAAAAAGATTTTGTTAATTTGTTAGAGAGAGGGGAAGGGGGGGAAAGAGAAGGAAAGAAACATCGATGTTCAAGAGAAACATTAATTGGTTGCCTCTTGTATGCCAGTGGGGACCTGGCTTGCAACTTAGGCATGTATGCTGACCAGGAATCAAACTGACCACCTTTGGGTTCGCAGGCTGGTGCTTAATCCACTGAACTGCACTAGCTAGGGCTCATTTTTTTTTTTTTTTTTGAGAGAGAGAGGAAGGGAGAGAGAGAAACATCATGTGGAAGATAAACATCAGTTGGTTGTCCAGAGCAGGGAGTGAACCTGCAACCTAGGTGTGTGCCCTGATTTGGAATTGTACTTGTGACTTTTCTGTTCACAGGCCAGTGCTCAGTCCACTGATCCACACTAGCCAGGATTCATAGATTTTTCGAGAGAGAGAAAGGGAGAGAGAGAAACATCATATGAAAAAGAAACATCAATTAGTTGCTTGGACCAGGGATCAAACCTGCAACCTAGGTATGTACCCTGACCTGGAATTGAACCCAAAAACTTTTGATAACAGTGCTCCAACCAACTGAGCCACACCAGCCAGGGTGTGTTGTTTCTACTTTTTTAATTTTCACGTGAGGATATATTTATTGATTTGAGAGAGGGAGAGAGAAGGAGAGAGACATTGATGTGAGAAACATCAGTTGGTTGTGTCCCGCACGTGCCCCAACCAGGGATCAAACCCACAACCTAGATATATTCTCTGACCAGGAATTGTACCTGCAACATTTGCTCCAACCAGCTGAGCTACCCGGCCAGAGCATATGTCATTTCTTTTTTTTTTCTTTTTAATTGTTTTTAAAGGTTTTATTTATTTTTAGAGAGAGAGGTAGGAAGGAAGAAAGAGAGGGAGAGAAACATCAATGTGTGGTTGCCTTTTATGCTCGCCCTCCTACTGGAGACCTGGCCTACAACCCAGGCATGTGCCCTGAC